TATAAATAGGAAGCAGTTTATTTTTAGTAAATTGAACGTTTTTGTCATAATGGTAAATGCTCCAGGCTTGTGCTAAGGAAGTAGAAGTTGTCCCCTTGCTTAACTAATTAAGCACTGTGCCATGAATATGCATGGGGGAGTGGATGTATAGATCCACATTTTCTTGACCTCAGCACTAGCTGGAGGCGGTGGTCAGCTTCACGCCCCGTCCGCTTTGTCTCCGTGGGAAAAGCCCTGGTACCCATTGGAAAAGAGGCTGGGTGGGCCCCAGAGCCATTCTGGACGACATGGACAAGAGAAAATTTTTTACCCTTCCAGGACTCAAAGTCCGACCCCTTGGTCGTCCACCCTGTAACGTTCTTAGTTTTAATGTAAGCTTGAATACTGGCCATTTTGTGGTATCCCCCATTCTCTTCAGGCAGATGCTGTGATAGTACTTTGATTAGGCTGCAGTTGCTTCTTGCAATCTGCTCTTCACCTGTTGTCCTGATGCTGTGTGCTCTAGACACTGACAGAATCGTAAAATAACTGATGGCAGAAGGCACAAGGTTATTCTGATATTCAGAAGGTTTAAGACTGGTCTTCCATCTGCTTCGATTTAGATTAATTTTTATAAAACATTCAGAATTACAGTATAAGCAGATCTCTTTCTGTGGATCAGTTTAGGATCTCTTTCGTGTTGCTTTATGTGGTATCCACAAAGTTTAAATTCGATCTTGTCAGTTGTTGAAACTTTGTAAACACTAGCCTTACAGAACAGGATTAGCAAATGATACAAGGGTTGGATAACAAGTAGTGGCAATACCTCAGTAGTTCTGAAATGACTTTATTACCTGAGGTAAACACACTTTCAGTATAGTCGCCCCCCCCCCATGTGTACCACCTTCTGCCAAATTTGTGGAAGGTGTCGTACACCAGCAGCGCGTCCATTTTTGTTGATGTCCAGCAGTGACTGCCCTACAGCACAAATAATCTCCTCTTGTGTGCTGTAATGTGTCCCTCGCAGTGGTTCTTTCATTTTGGCAAAGAGATAATCACACGGACTCGTATCTGGTGGGTATGGTGGATGTTGCAGTATTTCCCATCGCCAGTGGCGAAGGAGATCCTTGACAGTGTCAGCGGTATGATTCTTGCATTGTCATGAAGGATGATGGGGTTCATTGCCAACAAGTGTCATCGCTTTCTCCTGAGTGCTGGACAAAGATATTATGCAGGAAATTGCAGTAGTAGGCAGCGTTTACTGTCTGTGATTGAGGTACAGCTTGGTGCAGTATCACTCTACCAGTGTCATATGCCACATTGAACATCGCTTTCACATTACTCTGTGTAGGGCGCACTTTCTTTGGACAAGGAGAGCCAGAATGCTTGCATTCATTTGTTTGTTGCTTCAAGTGCGGTTCGTATGAGCTAGCCTAATTTCATCCAGAGTGACGATCCTTTCAAGGAAGTCGTCACCTTCCCTCTGGTACTGGTCCAATAAGTCCTGTGCAATTGCATAACGTTGCCATTGTTGCACCTCGGACATTGTATGGGGGTACCCAACGCACTGCAATTTTGTGGTATCCAAGAATATCGTGCAGAATGTGGAGCACGGTTTTGTGACATATGCCTACCTCAGCAGCTAACTCCTGCACAGCCCATCGACGATCGACATCCAGCAAAGAAACAAGAAGCTGAATTGTGTGGTTGTCAACATGGGGTCGTCCTGAATGGCATCCCTCCCTTCATGGAACAATTTCACCCATCGTGCCACTGTGCAATATGGCAAAGCAGCATCACCACATGCTTCTCGCAGTCCCTGATAACAGTTTTGTGCATTACGACCTCGTGCAACTTCAATTTTTATCCAGGAGCATTGTTCTTGATTCGTAAACATGTTGTTATGGTGCTTGAACTGGGCTCCTGCACTTCAAGATGACGCACAAGCAACTCAATGAAACATGGCCGTAACTACTCACTGCGCTACTTCAACTGAACTTCTGCTATCAGCTACAGATGGCACTAATGTCACCTTGATGCACATATTTCATGTTACTGCAGTGTTGCCACTACTTTTTATCCAACCCTTGTATTATAGCAATGACGCGATAATAGTGAATTTTCAGAATGAATATAGGTACACCACTCAGTTAAATCTCCAATAATGTAATCTGAAAGCTTGCATAATAACTTGCAAAGTAGTGTACTAATATGAATAGTGTGAGAACATCCAGTTTACAAAATGATTAATATTAAAATCAGTACTTCATTGATTCTGTTAGAGTTTACAGTTTGAGGTGCCAACAGTTTGCCTGCCTGATCCTACATTACAGCATCCCACTTTTGCTGTCATTCCTGTTGTATGTAACTCATCTGTTAACATCTTAATTATACCATTGCTACCCCTGCTAATTACTAGACATGCAAATTTATGCCTAGTTCGCTCTTGCTTTATCCCCTGTGTTTCTTTGTATTTAATGTCATTTTTTGTGCTACTCTTCCATCCTAGTGACCTCATAATAACTGTTTCTCTATTAATATTCCCAGTTTTGTCCCCCAAATTGCGTTCCTTCATACCTTGGTCAACGCCTTTGTTATATATATATATATATAGGACAAATCCCTTGTTCACTTTTCTTCCTGCTTCTGCTTAAATTGTCATATACGTGGTGCAATCCAAAAGTTCCAGAAATATATTAATAAAAACTGTTAACGTCTTACCTGGATCTTATTCTGCACCATCACCTTCAAAGTAGTCCCCTTGGGAGCGCGTACACCAATCCCAGCATTTCTGCCACTTTTGAAATACATCCTGGAAGTCTTTCTTTGTTAGGGTGTTTAGTACCATCTGCGTTGCTGCTTGAATCCTCAACTGTATCAAATCTTCGCCCCTTCAACTTGATTTTCATCTTGGGGAAGAGAAAGAAGTCGCATGGAGCTAAGTCTGGCGAGTACGGTGGATGGGGAACAACTGCCATCTTGTTTTTAGCCAAAAATTCCTTCACAATGTAAGCCGTATGCGGTCATGCGTTGTCATGGTGGAGTACCCAGTCATTCGTGCGCCACTTCTCTGGACGTTTTCGCATGTCCTCCCTCAAGCGCCATAGCACATCGCGATAGAACTCTTTATTGATTGTCTGACCAGGAGGGACGAACTTCTTATGAACAATCTCGTCAGTATGAAAAAACAGATCAACATGGACTTAATGTTGCTCTTGACTTGTCGAAATCTTTTTTGGCCGAGGTGAAGAAGGGCTCTTCCATTGCAACGATTGCTGCTTGCTTTCAGGGTTGTGGCCATAAACCCAACTGTCGTCATCATGACCTTTGAAAGACAGATTGGATCCTCTTGAAGCTGGTGTTGAAGTTCCCTGCAGACTTCCAAGCGATGCTGCTTCTGTTCATTTTGCAGCAGTCGTGGCACAAACTTCGCCGCAATCCTCCTCATGTTAGTTCCTCTGACAAAATTCGTTGACATGTACCATAACTTAGTCCCAAGGTGTTACAGAGGTCTTGGATGGTCAGTCTACGATCTTGCAGAATCAGATCCCTAACTTTCATGACGTTTTATGGTGTGCAAGTTGACGGCCCTCCTGAATGATCATCATCAGTCGATGTTCAGCCATTTTTGAAACGCTTATACCAGTCGTAAGTTTGTATCTGGCCTAAACTGCTTTCACCAAAAGCTTGCTTCAACATTTGGTGTGTTTCTGCAGCGGTTTTTCCAAGTTTAAAACAAAATTTTATAGAGACGCGCTGCTCTCTCGGGTCAGCCATCACAAAACCGCAAAATCACAGAAACACAACAATGGAAATATGTTCACCAACAATAAACCCAATCATTCAACTCGATGTTGCTTGCCACACTGATTCAAGAAGGGTGGGTGGGGAGACACCTAGCTGTATTTCGATATACTCATAACCATTCGTGCGAAAAATTCAAATTTCAGGAACTTTTGGATTGCACCACGTAGTTCTTTTATTGTCTGCTATTCTAGAAACTAAGAAACACATTGTTTTGGAAACTGGATCTGTTTCAGTCCTCAGGTTAGAGTGGAAGACGCCTACTCTTTTGGGTCTCTTAAAGAGAGCTAACCTCAATCACTGGACCCAACTGAGTAGATGTCTTCCCACCTCACCTGAGGCCAGAAACAGATCCAGTTTCTGAAACGTTGTTTTTTCTAGATTGTAGAATACCAGAGAATGGACAAAGCCCAAATCCCAGTAACGATCATCAGAACCCTTTCGAATACTGTTACATAGTGTTGATGAATTTCTGTATGTTATCATAGCTTCCATATTAACATTTAAAAAATATTGGAGCCAGGGTGATGTGTGAAGTGATGAGTGAGCCAGTAGCAAATGTGTGGAATGTTTCTTGTTGCTACTTGAGTAACCCCAGTCAGATTTGGACCTGTCACATCTGTTGATAAACCCTGTTCTATTATTTTAATGAACGAGAACAGAACTCTATACATGTCATTGTCTGATTATTAAAGCCATGCTTTATTATAGCTGTGTTTAACATTATTAAATGATTTGTTGATTTATGTTCAATAACCAGTTGTGTGAGCCTAACATACCTCTTTTTCAGACCAGACACCTCAGAATTGTCTTCCAGTTTAATGAACCCAGTCCTGAAATATAGAGGACAAGGGACAGTTCTAATTTTTAGCCTGTATCATGAATTGTATTGTTTATTTATTGATGTGAAGTGAGTAACAGTAAGTGTTTATAATAATAAAATTGCTGTTTTACACGTCTTTTGTACACACAGTGATATTCAGGATTTCTGCCCCCTCACACAGTGAGAACAGCTGGTATTATCCAGTAAAATGCCCATTTAAGGATTCTAAGGTGGATGTGAACACTACACTGAGGAAGATCCTAAATGGAGGAACATCAAATGGAAATACCCCTGTATATTGTTTCTCAAGTTTTTAGCACCTTCTGTACTGGTATGTGTGCTAGAAATGTATCAAAATTTTTTCTTATAATAGATTATCCATTCAATGTTGCAGCAGTGGAGTTGGACGAGGCCCTCCGGTGTCACCAGCAGTAAGCAATCGACAGTCGCCGTTCCCTCGCAACGTGCCAAGCCGCTCGACATTCCACAGCGGTCAGAATCGTCAGCGTAACCATACGCCATCATATGGCCAGACCACACCCATGCAGTCACAGGACACATCAGCTATTAGCCACTCAGGACGCACCTCATCCTTTTTCTCAAAACTGTCGTCCAGATTCTCCAAGCGGTGAGTATGAAATGTGTCCTGTGTAGTGACTTGCATTCATGGCAAAATGCAAGGTAACAACAATTTGATTAAATTGGTTTTAATCGTTTTATTTTAATGTTGTGCCCATTTAGTTAATGTTTTATTTATAGTTTTCAGGTTCCTTCTTGGTTAAATCTTAAAAATACCTAATAGTCATTGATGTAATAGGGAATAAATGACATAATTTGACACCAGTTTCACTTTTAGCATGACTTCAAAGATTCCGGTTTGCTGTGTGACAATCACCTGTCCCATTGGTGACAGTAATGATATGCTGTGAAAATCTCTGAGGGTATGTCATCACATCTTAAATAGGGAACCTTACTGAAAATAGTCCTATGTGCTAAAATCTCTGGTATGGAGATTTTGGTTCCCATGGTATGTTGGAAACAAACTAGTAAAGAGTTCTATCTTCTGGGATATGACACCATGTAGGCTGTTGAAAATCAATCAGCGTTTTGGACAAACATGTTACTGCCATCTTCAGCATCAAAGAGTAAGCTGTGCTTGCTTGTATTATTCTGGGACCTTACAGATGGAGGCAACAGGTTCAGCCCAAAACATTAATTCTCAGACTGTATGGCATTATATCCCTGAACACAACTCTTCATAATCAGTTGTGTACAAACTTCGAAATCTAGTAACTGTATAACAGTGACAATGACACATCCTCAGAGATATCTTAGGCTGTCTGGAATTCATTAAATTTACATCGGATAAGCATGTTACAAATGCAGCCGTTGCTGCAGCTGGCTGCGACCAGTGGAAATGCTGGTTGCATAGTTACATGGCCGATATGATCACATTTAATATGGCTAGTGTTGCTGCAGGAACATTCATTTTGCATGAAATGTATATTTTTTAATATTATCATGTGATGTAAGTAATATGGATAATTTTTATCATGGATGTGGAATTAGTGTTTTCCTGGGGAAAAATACTTGTCGCCCCAGCAAGACATATGGGACAAACTAGTTTTTGGAAATTGGGTGACATGATTGTCTGTTCCATCACCTGACTGGCTGAAATTGAACGTGGATGCTGATGCTGTCAGGTGACAGGCCAGAGATGTTACAATGTTACATTATGCCATTGTGAAGTCTGGCATCGTTAAAGTAATGACATTTTTCCGCTATAAATGTTAAAGCTTTGATCTTATCACATGGTAGTCAAAATTTAAAAGGCTATGGCAGATCCATAATGTAGACATAGCCCAGCTGCAAATGGTTAAACTTCAGAAAATTTCAGTGGAAAATTATGAATTATCATTAGCAGCAGTACATAACTTTTCACAAAGTCCAGTCAAGTTCTTTGTATTCCCATGTGTAGAATGCATTGCGGCAGGGATGCACAATGTAATGCTTTAGATTTATTTTGCTTTAATCATTAAAATTCAGGCTATTAAATTACAAAAAAAAAGTTTCTGGTGGTTTTATTTTGTTTTGAAATCAGTTTTAATTTGAATTTATAAAACTTTAGCCCTTGAGCAGAGACCATAGTGAAAGCTGTTGTTTTTGTGTCAATTTCGTTACTTTCTGTTATGTGACATCAGTGTAATGAGTTCCCGCTAACCATCTGGTTACATTGTGCATCCCTCAAATGTGTACTGATTATTGTTATGATTCAAATTGTGATGGGGAACAAGGTGTTTCTGTTCGACATCTTTTCCTGCTGCAACAGTTTTATGTATGGCTGATGATCATGATTTTTATTCCAAAATAAATGATGTTCAATTCTTCATGCCCACAGAATGATGAACAAGAGAATCTACTGTTGATGGCAGCGATTGACAGTTTACTCGGGGCTATAAGTTGGTAGGATGATGGGTTACATGCTTTCACTACATGGTCACTGCTTAAGGACATAAGATGTACATTGATCATTATAAATTATTTATAAAAGTATGTTTTGTATGAACGCATAAAGTTGGAAAGAATCATCAAAGCACTTAAGTATGTAATTTCGGTCGTGGTGAAACATTACCTATTGGAGAGACATTAAGCTGTCATTTCATTGCGCTTAAAATAATAACAGTATAATTCTGAGCATGTTAACACATTCACTGCAGGGTGTTCACATTGCGCCTGACTATAGAATTCATGAATTTAAAGTCTTTAAAACGTTAATTACAAAGGTTAAGTCTTCCTGGATGTGATGCCATGTAGTTTGGTTTGATAGGTTCTTTCAAAACATTGGTACCTGTCTACCAGACTGTACAGTGTCATCATATGTCATGATGGAGCACTCCGGTTTCATATTCAGGAGGTCGCAGGACCTGAGCTCAGCCCAGAGACTTGATTGAGGTTTTTGGTTGTTTACCTCGGTTCTTGCAGGCAAATGATGGGATAGTAACTAATGCAGATCAGGCCACAACCACTAGTTTTCATTTCTTTTCCAGTTTGTTGCTCATTGATCATCTTGTCGTTCATTTCCATTTAGTCTTAAGCTGTGGAGGAGCATTGCTAAAACAAAAATAAATAAAAAAATCACAGTGTGGCATCCCAGAAGGGTGTAATTGTAATGTTCGCTACCCTGCAACCCTCCTCATTCTGCACAAAATTTGATTTGAAGTAAGTGTTTGAAATTCCGTGCCACACTTCTTTAGAGTGTGGTCTCTGATATGACATGGCCAAGTCATACCTTGTCCAGGGGACCTGCGCATACTTTTAAGCCTCCCCAGCATTGCAAAATCATGTCCACATAAACTGTGGTTGATGCAGTGAATGTGTTAATATTTCCAATAAGGTGTTCATATTCTCTGTATTGAATTTATAGATACTAAACTGATTTAATTGGCACATAAGATAACAGAAGAGTTTATATGTAATAAGGTTTGAGGAGAACACACAGTGTAATAGAGGGCTGTGTTATTCATACACGGAATTTCATAGTTACGATGTGTGCAATTTTGCTGTCTCTTTTCCAGAAAGGAAGTATATAAGTATTATGTGGTTGGTAGTAAGATTGAAGTTGTCCAGGATGTAGGTGGGTAGCAACATTTTGGAGTAACCTGGTGTCTCCGTGTCCACATCCAAAATGTAGGCAACTGTGATGAAGCATTGATGTCTCTCTGCCGTACTACATGACAACACATCACATCTGAGTAGACTGGCCATTGGAACATCAAATCTCATATTGATTTCGTACTGAATGGGTTGTCATTGTGGTAATACTCTTGATAGGTATTCAAGAGGTGCTCAGTTTTAGTCTTGGCCAAGGCCCTTGCATCCTGACCGATGTTTCTCGTGGTTTTCCTTGGTCCATTCAGGCAGATGCCAAGATAATGCCGTGATTAAACCATGACTTCTTCCTTCTGAGTCCTCTCCATTCCGTCATTCATCTTACCGTTTGGCACTATATAGTCTAGCTACTGACAGCTTTAAGAAATAACCCCCCAAAAGAATTATTTTTGTAGACCTTTGTTGTGCTGTGTGTTCATCCCCTTCTCACCTGATTAACATATAATTGTCTTCTAAGATTTTTATCCTTAAGTAACGGTATCTGACAGGTCAAAAAATATTATTTTGCTAGGATGCAGTGTGGTGTTGTAGCTGTTTAAGTGTCATGTTTAGCGGACCATCATTTTCTGATGACAAATGCAGATGGTGAATGTGCTGCAGAATTGCCCATTTAGCTAATGCTACACTTACAGGCAGTTTTCTCTGCTTCTCATTCTTAGGACCTAAAGTTAGGAGGCTGCTCGGATGATGATTCTTGGATGGAAGCAAACTGCGTGTGCTCAAAGCAGAACTGATGGCCTGGGTTCTCTCGGCTTGCTTGGGAAAGATAACAACTAATCAACTACCAAAGCTGCCTGATCCCCTTACATGTTATAAGGAAGAGAATAGAGAATAATTTGGTGACTTGCTGTCTTGGCAGTGGCAGTAAGGTGGAAATGTTGATTTCATTTCTGATTGTAAAAGTTTCTGTGTCTGTTGATAAACATCTGTTGCCTTATGATCATTAATCACTTTTATAAACCCCATTGAAAATCACCTTGGAAATTGTTGTGGTTCAGTGTCATTATTGAATGTGGAGCATAAAATCTTTTGAGAAAACATTTTATATGAACCCAAAGTATAACAGAAACTTTGTCCAAATAGTTATTCTTGAAAGGTATGGAAAGACTGTTACCCACATCTAATGATATGCATGAAGTGGTGCTGCTATCTAGAGGTATGCTAGTAATTTTTCATCAGAGGCAGACACAGCGATGCTTCCTTGAAGCATACCTTCCACTGCCATCTTCTGCTGTTTTTGGAACTATTGGCAACGCTGATGGATGCCTGCTAACATGCATAACAGAATACCAAGCATTAGCTTTTATGCATAAAGCTGTTAACTGAAGTTCTCCTAGACATTTGTATTGTCTTTTGCATTCAGAATTATTTTCTCTCTCTCTCTTCATTATTTCATCTGCTAGCATTTGACAGGTTGCAGAATAGAGATGTTTTGCTTAATTAGAGGATTAGTATGACTATTTTCAGTTTGCTGCTTATCAAGGATACAAAGTCACCTTACTTGACTTGAACTGGGATTTCCCAATTTATATAATGACTAGCCTGTTGGCTTGATGACCAAGGACTTGGTGTTTAATTCCCTGCAGGTGGAAAAGGTTTCTTTCTTTTTTCAGAGCATTCAGATCAGCTCTTGAATCCCACCCAGCCTCCTGTCCGATGGGTACCAGGTTCTCTTTCCCCTCGAGAAAAAGCACCTGGGACATTAATCTGATAGTTCACATACATGCATTTTGAGACCTAAGAATGCATGGAGCTGTACCTCTTTCGCCATGTCTTCATGGTGTATGGCCTAATTAAGCACAGAAACATGTTTACATTTTTAATTATGCAGGATGTTAGGCCTATATAGTCTGTTCTGATGCATAATTTGGTCCAAGCTGGGTTAATCTTTAAATTTATGCTAATCTCATATAGAGACATACTAATTAAGATTGGTTTTTGGTAAGTCCTTATAGAAGA